TGAGTCTGTACTCGGTCTTCTAGTTCAAAAAATTTCTTTTTTAACGGCTTTGACTATGAAAGTATATATCAGGTACATTCAAACTTCATTATCGCTCTACTTTCTCTCCGATTCTTTAATAACGTGAACTTGTCTAGATTCTCAAGATACTAAAGACTGAAGTCAAAGGTCTTCTCCTTGCACTAGGATTCAAGTTCACAAAGCTAACATATCCCGAGCGGCCTCTACTAACCGAGTGAGCATGATGCCGAGACCGTTTTCAGGTCTTTGGCAGCTATTTTTCAATCACCCTTTCGCTGGGTACGATTTGTAGTTGTGGCAGACATTTCCTGTATACGTCACTTCCACGTATTTTCCCCTCTCTTCCTCGATGACCATCTTAAATTTCATGTCGCATTCGCGACGCTTGCAGTTCCCAGATCCTCTGAAGAACGGCGCTGAGATCATCTTTCGAGAGTTTTCCTTTCGAACGTGATTATTCTTTAAGCGCAAGTTGCACCAGGGATTGCTTTCGTGCAAACCACGTTTAAAAATCGTAGTCCAGGCACCACCTAACAAACGACCTCCACCTGGGAAATGGGTGATCTCCATTATGTCCCAGTCTTCTTCTGACAGCTTAAATTTCGTCTTTAAACCATCGATATCAACTCGAAGGAAACGCTGTCCCCCTTCAGAGTCTTTCCAGACTTCATCCTATCGCGAGGAAAAATATAACTTAGGCTTTGTCCACACGTGACGTAAAACGTTAACGGTTGCAAACGGACCCAGCGTAAACCGGCCGCCACACTTTTTTTACCCAGTCTATGTTCACACGATTACATTTAAGTTAGCATGCGCGCAAGCTCTCTCGGGGGCTCTGGATGACCGCAAATGGGTCTGTTTAAAAACATTCTAACTTCTGATTTACAGGGAGCGAAGGCAACCTCAAAATGCTTATGATGGATCAGTAGAAACTGAACAATTTTGCGCGAGAACCAAAACTCCTCAGTATCTGGTCATTTGTATTTTCAGACACTGTTTAGCGAAATTTGTTGAGTCATTTCATAAGACATAAATGGCCTACTGTTACCATGACGACATGCTGCAAAAATTTGAATTTCATTAAAGGTGAAATTGATGGCCAGGGCACACGACACACAGGTCTAAAGCAGGGCCACATCCCACAATACATATATCGTCTTGTAGAGCTCGTTACAGGCAAAATATAATAAAACGGTCAAAAGCCAAGAGGTTTTCCGCGACCTCTCCCCGGGTACCACGGCGTGGGAATGGATTTCAATGGCGTTACGGCTGTGACCACCTTCATCATCGACAATATTCGCTTACAATATTACCATTTTATCCTTCGCAGACGGAAGCTATTAACTCACACGTTTGTGCGTGTTTTGTGTGGACATATTCTCAGGAACTGAAATGCAAAACGATTTAACAATGCCTGAAGTCGGGGTCGTACAAGGTAGCGAAGAAATGGCATGCTAGACAAGAGTCGGTCCCATGGAGTTAAATTTTTTTTCTGCTGCTAAATGTGACAACCTCGTTCCCAGGGTCTCCTCGTTTTCAAGTATTGCGTGGAAGGAGAGAGACCCGGTTGTCAATATGACTGCCTTCTTTTGTTGCAGCATCACCAAAGACTATTCCATACTTGCTAGCAACATTGGGGTGAAACAGTGGGAAACTTATTAGAATACAAAACAAAAAAGTCAGTTCGAGTATATGTATATAACGGTCAGACGGGTCAAAGCAGACAATATGAATAATTGTTGCTCCTGCGATACAACTTACCACTTTTTTGTTGTCTTTCGACTGCTCGCGATCGGGGATGGTATCCGTATTTTCATTGCTTTCTGTTTCCTCCTCCTAAAAGAGGCATATGAAAAATTTATTTGCAAAATACACGATAAGTAAACTGGTGAGAGCACTCGCCTTCCACCAATGTGGCCTGGGATCGATTCCCGGACTCGACGTCATATGTGGGTTGAGTTTGTTGTTGGTTCTCTTCTCTGCTCCGAGAGGTTTTTTTCCGGGTACTCCGGTTTTCCCTTCTCCGCAAAAACCAACATTTCTAAATTCCAATTCGATCCGGAATGCTCGAGCGTTTAATACATGCGCCCCTGGCTCGGGAGATTGGGCAACCACTCCTCACGCTATCGAGCTTAAATAAAATTGATTTGAAATTGATTTTTGAATAAAATAGTTTCCTGTTTTCACTCACAGTTTATGTACGTATCATCATCATCATCATCATCATCAACGTCATCAACGTCATCATCCGACATCTCAAGGGTTTCCGCTTATGGGGGGATTTGACACATTCATCTCTATTTGTTACTATGATAATTATAACAAGTACTAGAAAAAGAGTGCTAGATAGCCTTCATAGTATATCAAAGAAACTTCTGGAAATCGTGAGCCACCGTAAGTGTCGGTACCTTACTTGAAGTGAATATCCGGGGCTAAACAGCGCAAAACAAACAAACAATATTTAGAGGGGGTGACACTTAAATTTGCAGTTCTAAAAACTGGTTAACCTGTGGCCCTCTAAGTGTCCCCGTCCATTTGGAGACAATAACAGATCACATGTGAATTAGGGAATGTGGTTTTTGAGGAGAGGGAAAAGCCAGTGCACCCGGAGAAAACCTCTTGGAGCAGAGAAGAGAGCAACGTGTTAGCTCCTTAAACAGGGCCAAAGCTAATATAAGGCAAGACAAGGCACTCGCCTAGTCTCGTTTTCAACTCAGGTTAAAGTAAAAAACGGGAAATGAAATTTGGAAAAAATTTCCTAGAAAAGGAAAATGAAGTAAATATACAACAACCCATCGCAAACGCAGGACCTTGATCAGATAATAAGATCGATGAATGTCCCCTATTCCTGCAGATAAATCAATGTTATTTATAAAAATGAAAATTACATGGCTGCTTGGAGATACGAAATTTTCCTTCGAGAATTGAAAAAATATTTCACGAGTCAGCGCAGTGAACGAGTGAAATATTTTTAAACACCACTCGAGAAGATAAATTTAGTATCTTGAAGCGGCCATGTAATGTTCTATTTATTTCATAAACACCAATGAAATACCAAACCATTTCAGTATAATATATATATATATATTTTTTTTTCAACTGCAAAAGGCGCAATTTATCATGTGGCTATAGCAACGGTGATCTTTTCATATAACAAGTCATGTTATTTTCACGTGTGAAGATATCATGTTTTCGCTCGAAAGCTCACCGAGGAGTTCATTGGTGGTTATTTAAGCAATAGAAAACGTTTTCCGTGTCTGCATAGCCTGATATAAACACCAGAGGGGTTGGGAGAATTTGAGACAGTTATGCAAACCCGAGACGAAGTCGAGGGTTTGCATAACTGTCGAGAATTCTCCGAACGCCTCGAGTGTTTATATCAGGCTATGCAAACACAGGAGAAAAGTTTTCTGTTGCTTTTATAAAATAAATTTCTCGAGAAAAAACGCAAAACTCTTTGTATGGCACTGATTAAAAGAGAAATTCTTACTAGCCGCAAAGTCTTGTCCACGAAGTCTTGCACGCGTAATCGGTTCTTGTTTTGCAAAAAGATGCTTTCCAAAATACGGACTTTTCTCGCTTAAAATGTCAGCTTAAGCGAAAAAAATTGACACACTTTCTTTGTAACGATTTTCCAAGTTTCAGTAGACGAAGGAATGGGTAAATAAAGTAAACTTGTCGAGTTTTGAACTTGAAAACTTTTTCAAATTCGTGCTTGCGTGATTAGCGCGCGAAAAGCAAAACATCTTGACGCCACAACCATGTTTACATACTTTCATGCAAACACTCCTCTCAGCCAATCAGAGCGCGCGTACTATCTTAGTTATTTTATAAATAATAAGTAAATATGAGCTTCTCCTATCTTTCGATAATGAACAACACGACATTGGATACTTACGTGGCCTGGAACCAGGCTCCGCATGTGGGGCGGGGTTGGCGGGGGAGGGGGAGAACGCAAAAAACGGAGTCAAATAGCCGAGCGGTAGCCTGGGAGGGGAGAGAGCGGCAGAGCCTGGAGACATGCCTTTGATGCCACCGTTCCATGATACCAGATTCTGGTATCATGCTCGCGGTGCTGTTGACAGTATCGCGCTCATTTTAATATCACACTCCTACAACTTGGGAAAAAATTTTTTAAAACACGGATTTCGAGCAAAAAATACAAACTTCTTTACAGGACTTTTCGCTTATCACTCGGCGACAAGAAGAGCAAAAAATATTCCTGTGATTTGTTGAAAAAAAAAAAAAAAGAAGAAGCATTCAAAATATAGAGCTTTTCTTATACTTTCCTGTGATAAACTACGGTCACATTTACAAAGCGACTGACTTATAAACCTACTTCAAAAGGTACAGTATTATAATCACGCTCAAAAGCATGATAAAACCCAAAAATCAGTGGCTATATGCAAAGAACGCCTTTTTCGTAGAGCTAAGCCTTGTGTTCCAAAACCAAAATTGTACGGAGATACCCCGTGAACAGTTGTTTCTATTTGGTTTGGCTTTTAGCGTTTATGAAGTCCGCCGTTTGTCAGTCGCGAAGTTAACAAACCAAATACGCGACTGACAAGCAACGAGAACGACTTCGTAAACGCTAAAAGCCATGCATACAAGAGAGAAACCTCAGCTCGCAGGCTAGTACAAAGATAACAGCGACTGAAGAAGATCAAGGAAAATGATTATTACTAATTTTTACACGTATTTGAGCAGACATACCTTATAAAAGGGACAACAAATTCAACAGGAATACACTCAAAATGAATAGTCTGTCGCATAAGGTGCCTAACTTACACATTTTTCCTCCCCGGACTACCTTTTTTTTTTCGCCCACGCCGATTTTTGCTCCATTTTCCCACACTGTGGGAATTGACGTCATTTTTCACTTATTTGCATTTTCACGATCGACGTTTTTGAATGGGCGCGTTTCTGTAATGATGCAGAGCGTGGTCCCAGGCTAATACTTACGCTTATATCGACGTCCTGATTTGGAGCGATAACGACAGAACTGTCAAGGTTTCCACCAATCTGGTTAATTAAGATAAAAAAAAAAATAGAAAAAAATAACTTTCAGTGATCTTTTTCTTTCGCTTGTTTAGTATTCTTTCTTTCTTTTTCTTTTCTTTTTCTTGTACGTTTTTCTTCTCTTTTCTTTCTTTCCTTTTTTGTTTTTGTTTCTTTGTTTGTTTGTTTTTTTTTTACTGAAATAATAATAATAAAAAATTGCGTTCCAGGTCCCCATCAAAGATTGTCTGTGAAAGCAATGATTTGTGTACGGACCACTAACGTACGTACAAAATAAGTAAATTAATAAACTTAGGCCACTAAGGCATGACTATCTAATTAAATATGCATATTTTGATAAAATTCTATTTAGAACGGCTTGCTTCTATCAATGATCCTGAAAATAAAACTAGAAATAAAGCTTAATGGCCTTAGCAATATGAGACATATTAGAAGCTCAAATTTTGGTCACGTGACTGACAATTGACAATTAATAGTCAAAACATTTACTCTAACATGAAGAAAAGATAATAAAAGAGCAACAAGTTCTTTTAGGTATATTTCAGAGGCGATTGAAAAGGTTATGAACAATTGTGTGTTTACGTTATATACGAAGCGGTAAATAAAGGGAAAAGGCTCACGTGACTTATTAGTCAGTTAAATAGCTAATAGGATATCATACAAGTCATATTTACGATTTACACTGTTTATGTTTTTGACAATTCCTAATATTAAGGTTTGCAACCCTTCCCCGTTTAGGAAGACGTGTTTTGTGACGTCATTGACAAAACAATGTCACGTGTTCTTTGAAATCACGTTTCACGAGGAGCCCTGCTTTCACGGTTTTTTTTCGTTGAGCCACATTTGAAGTTCACTTTTCAGGATCACTGATGGAAGCAAACCGTTCTAAACAGCATTTAACAAAATATGCATATTAAATTAGGTAGTCATGCTTTAAGTGGCCTGGGAATAAATAAAACGGGAAATTAATAATATAGTTCCCTGTCGTTTCACAGGCTTTACAAGGTGATTGCCTTTGCTGAACGTTATACGAGCAACCTCAAAATTTGGACATTTCACACAGCCTCACCAACAAAATTTGACGACCTGCACTGGGTAATTTGCTGAGACTTATAATTCCCTCTACGATTCGGGGAATTTTTGTCGGCTTAGATGCTGGCGATTCTTGGTAAAGAGAACCGCAACTAATAACATTTTTTAGTCTAAAATAAGATCAGGAGTTTGAAGTCCGGGCGGAATACGCTCCCCGCCCCCCCCCCCCACCCCTGGAACGAACAGTGAGCGGCTCTCCTGCAGGGAGGGGTAGTAGGCCTGTACACACACTTAGTCTATTGCCGATTCGGCATGGCTGCGTTGTTCAGTTATAGTACCTGAAGAGGTGCGTGTGTATTTGTTGCACTTGATGCTCTGCGACGTCCAGCCACAGGAGCCATAATCACAGAAGGGCGTTCCTGATTAAAGGGAATGCTTGGAGCTTGTACATGGCAAACACAGGGACAGTTGTCAGGACAGCCGTATATAATAGAGGAGGAGCTGCCATTAAAGACTGACGTGAACGTTGTGTTGGTCGTTAAACTTTCAGCCTGATCATTGAATGCCGTTTCTAGAAGGCCGCTCAAGCTTATCAGCTGGGATCCGTCTTCATGGCAACAACTTTCTTCCAATGCTACCTCTTGCTTAATGGCTCCTAGATGGTATAATGGTATTGTCTCGGAGGAGACACTTAAAGTGTCTTTCTGAGGAGCTAGAGGTGGATTTTGGAAACTCATCTAAATTGAAATAAATAAAATAGAAATGTAAGCTTCAATGAATTCTATAGCTCCACTAGTAAAAAGATAATGATCAGCTCTATGGCCATCAGAACAAAACATCGTTACTAACTATTAGGCCAGCTAGTCTCGATCGTCCTCAGTCGAACCTCCCGTAAGCAACCACCCAAAATGCAAAGACCGAGTGGTCGCTTACGGTAGGTGGTCGTTTACAAGAATCGAACCACAGGGGCTCTCTTCCGAGAAGAGTTCCAGGCACATCTACTTTATGGAAGATAATTTATTGCATGCAATGTCTGTGTAAGGATATGTGTATTTCCACGTTGTCACAAAAGTTCTTCGTATATCCTAAGTAACATAGTACACACAGCGAAAATAGAGATTAGAGAATGCGTCAAGTGGTGGCTTACAAGAGGTTAAAAGCAATGGAAAATCATTAATCGTCAGACCTAAAAAGTGGTCGCGGTCGCTTAAAGGAGGTGGTCGTTTACAAGAGGTTCCAACTGTAAGGCTTTGACTGAGAGAATTTTGGTGTTTTGGATTGGCGGTCGCTTATGGGAGGTGGTCGCTTCCGAGAGATGGTTGCCCATGGAGGTTCGACTGTATTTCATTTGAAAAACCAATTTAAACCCTTTAAACCCCAATATCCACTTACAAATTCTCCAAACTGAACTCCATACATTTCCTTAAAGAATTGGTAGTGAGAATTTGGGAGATCAAAGCATTTTCTCTAACGAGATCAGTTTATTACTTCTCATAACATCTTCTCTTGATAACGTGTATGGATATCGTTAGGAGTAAAGCGATGTTGGTCACTGTTGACTGGCCTACCAGCAGCAAATATGCTATGATACTGCGTTTTTCAAGCGCCAGAGACGGAAGTTAAGTCCGTCTTCGAAACGGTGCCGAAATCCGTGTTCTGGGCCGCCACCTATGTACCAGGATTTAAGTGCACGTCATGGTTAGCCTGTTAAAAATCGCATTGTCGAATTGCCAATCAGGATGAAGGAAAATTCGAAAACCATTTCCGGTAATTCGCCGAGTCCCCATGGGGGCCCAGAACAAGGATATCCGTTACTAAACGGGGTTAGATTACATCTGTGACGCAGGCTACTGTACGGCGTCTTCCCAGGCGTTCTTAAAGGTAAAAACTCGCTCGGACCACGTGATCCGAAACGCATACACTGCGCGGAAAAATGAGGCCTAGGGACTAGGCAAGCAAAAACCGGGGATAGACTTCGAAATACTCACCTTCAGCGCACTAACACGAAACCACCGCGTCACCACAGCTATACGATCGATAAAAAAAATTAACAATTATTGAATGAGGCTGAGTATGATGCAGAGAATTATGCAGATCGAGACAAAGTTCCTTCAGTCAGTGTGTACTGATCCATCTTTCACTAGTCCATGTTCTTTTACCATTCTACGTTTTACCAACTAGCTGCCAACTGCAGTATTTTTCTGTCAAACCTGTCAGACAAGATCCGTCTCGTGACAACTACCGTAAGTAATACGACTCGCGCTTGTTTTCCCTCAGACAAAGTGCATTTGTTCACGGACATAAAACACGACTGTTTCCGAGATAAATCCTAAAACTTCAACTTTGGATTCATTTAGTAGCAGTAAGTACAGTCAACATTAAGGCAAATAGCAGTGTATAACATTGGTTTGAAAGAAACCTGAAAACTAGCTAGGGATGGCAACACGGAGCATGTGTTTCTACTTAAGTCTATTGTATATAACGCATGCATTTCTTTAATCATAGGAAAGCTTTTACTTTCAGGGTTCATGTTCCATAAACAAGAGAAATTATCAGTTCACTCATTTTTCAAAGGCCTCCTTCCAGCCACAGGTATTGGCCAAACTAGTTTTTTGATTTGCTTATATCTGTGCCTACTCTAGCAGTTATATGACTAAGGCGACTTTACAAAAGTAATTGCACCCTGCTTACATGCCCGGGGGGGAACTCCCGTATAAAAGTGACGGTTATTCTCGTCGTCACACTTAGAGGTGTAAATGGCAGATTTTGATATCACTGAGGGTGTTTAGGACGGAAAGTCACTATATTTGCCCACTCAAGTATCGCTCAGGGCTGGTGCATAAAGAAATCTTTGCAAAAAATGCCGAGATGTCTTAAAAAAGCTGTGTCACGAAATTCATCCAAATTAGGGAATTACAAAATGCCCGTTAAATTAAGAGAAACGTAAAAATAACCGCTTAAATCATTAAAGGAAGGTCAAATTAACACAGCAGATACAACAGATGCCACGGATGGGCAAAACTGAAGAAGATTGAAACTAATTGAAATTATTAGGGTTTTTGAAAACTGTTCAGCCTAACAGTTTTTCAAAGTTGATCTCTGCTGTTTGCAACTTTATATTTGTTTGTCTCGAATCACTGATTTTGTCATTTCCTTGTAATTTCTTTGCCGACTTTAAGTTCCATACCGATTGAGCGCGAGTAAATGGCAAAATTAAACAAAATGAACTGGACTGCCGTGACACAGCCCCTTTAATCCTTAAGGGTCAGTTTAATTAAGCTTGAGCCACAACCACACATTGGTCTCCCTTAGGGGTTAAATTCTAATTTTCCAACGAGCACCCACGTCACTTTTACATTTTTCGGTTCCTTACTGAAAGGATTGATACCGGCTAGACTGAAGAAACAGCTTACTGTAGGTTAATTTATCATTAAGTTCAAAAACTAATAATAAAGAAATAATAATAATAATAATAATAATAATAATAATAATAATAATAATAACATAAATAAATGAATGATGATTATTCGGTGCTTTAAATATAATCTTGAAAAAAATAATACCACTGTACAGAAACAACTGGAACGCATAAATCACGACCTTTAACAGTTTTGGAACGCCAACATGATCCCCGTCTAAGACATTCCACCATTTTTCAATGTAATCCAGAGGTCTCTAACCCAGGGTCTATGCATGAACTACGTACACTGTATGCTGAACTTTGTATTAAATGTCACGTAATCTAAGCGTCGTGACAATAGGCACCTTTATCATCACGTTTTTCATGGGAAACTGCAAACTGCAAACCGCAAACCGCAAAATGTCACGTGACCACGGCCTTGCGGTCACGTTTGCAGTTTGCAGTTCACGTTTGAACCGCAGGAAGGGCTTCCAGCGGTACGTGATTTACGGCAAGGTTTTTTGCCAC